CTATCTATCTATCTATCTATCTATCTATCTATCTATCTATCTATCTAGTCCTACTGTACTGATCAAAAATGTAACAGCAACAATAAATTACAAAGTAAACAAACAAAAAAAGCTCAATACAAAACGGGGCCGCTTCTCTAGTCAGTTTTGGTCATTTTAAACAAAAGAAAAAAAGAACAGCTTTTATTTTTCAAAGGCATCAGCATGAAATATAGGCCTTTACTAGTCCTACTGTGAGTAAAAATAAAATAGCCGCAGATGACCGTTTTGGTACATGACGCACTAGGCCAAGTCAAGACTTCTGGTCATTTTCAGGTCAAGACTGGACGACCGGCAGATCGATTCTGAGGCTTCTTAAACCTCAGAAGTGAAAAGAGGGTTGAGTCTCTGACCGTTTCTGACCCCGGCTGGACGGGACCCGCTCAGCTGTGGCGCGCTGCTCCCACTAGAGCGAGCTGTTGATGAACGGGAGAACAAGTTCCGCTCGCCAGGACACTCATTCCTGATAAGAAACCCCCCCCACACACGTTTCTGGTTAATGATTCCCTGAAAATGAAGCGCTTTTGATTGACCACAGCCGTGTTTTTCATTGAAAACTATTAAAAAAACATTGATATTTCTTCATATTCTTAAGCTCTTAGGTCTTGGATCTGTGTGACCTGAGCCATGGGGGCGTTTAAGGGGGGAAAGAGCCCCCCGTCCACACTTTCCCACCGGAGTGGAATCCATTCAGACATCTACCCACCCGCCCGCACGCGTGAACGACCAGGAACTCACGTTGCGTCCACCCCCGCAGCAGAAAATCGGACTTAACCGGGTTTCCTCTAATCCCGTCCCCTATTAAGAAAGCGGGTTTCTGGTTTACAGGAATCAGGTTAGAGCGGGAGGCCGAGGCCGGGGCCGGGCAGGTGTCTAAAGTCATCAGGACAATGTGAAATTTGGGATTATTGGGTTTATTTAATGTTGCGAAATCCTTCAAAGTGTTCAAACTAGCCAAACATATGAGCTGTGTTCATGTTTTTTCACCATAACTGCCTCAAATATTCGTTTTTTTCTCCTGGAGTTTGAAATTGACCCGGAATATTCCTGGTTGCTTATTCTCTAATGGGAAACAACTATTTTTTTTGACAATCTGGGACATGGGACCCACAAAGGTCACAAAAACGACCACAACTGGACTAGAACCAACATCCTTTATTATCCTTTATTACTTATTTTTTTAAAGCAACCCAATAAAATGGGTTAACTTAGGGTTTTTTTTAGCATTGATGAACATTTAGAAACATTTGTTTTGTTTCCCCCCACACAGCTTTTAAAGCTTAACAGAGTCCTCTCTCTTTTCTATAGCATCACAACCACAAATGTGCATCACTGTGTGACTAATGTCTACGTTTTTGGAGTCTCCTTCCATTGGCATTTCGGGTGTTTCCGGGTTGCAGCGGGGAACTAGCTCCGCACACTTTCTCCGACAGACGCGCTATAAATGGGTTAATGAGCCAACCGTCGCCACGTGACCATCAAGTTATATAATATATAGGTCAACACGTTTCTCGTTGGCACGTGCAGCCTTCTTTCTTACGTAAAGTCTCGTGCAAAGGTCTCGAATTACACTATGTAGGTGAGAGACGGAGATCGTCAATGTTGGAGATGAGGTCTCACTACGAAATATACCGTGTTGGAGTTTTATTGAATTCTTTTGGATTTCGGGGTGACTAAGATAACGGATGAAATTATGGTTTTGGATTTGTTGTGATTCAGACATGGAATGTGAACTGTTAGAAGTCTATCTGAAAAAAAAATCATCTTCTTGACGCATGCTTTACTTTAAAACTGAACAATAAAGAACTAATTCGGCAGAAATGATTGTAGAAGATGAAGAGTAAGCCAACCAATTCGATATTATGATTCGTTATGATGGGTTAATGTTAGATTTAAGGAAAAAAAATGTTATTTGGGATTCGCTAAATAGATGAATAAAAGAAAAAGGAAATTTGATCGATTTTACGTGTACATTTCAGAGGCAACCTACAGAGGAGCGTAAATCTGCTTTTTAATTTAATATAACTTTCCTTTTGGATATGGAAAGTATTTTCTCGCACACACACACAAAACAACAATGGATATACACTATAATCTAAACCCTTTTTCAAATTTTTGACCTCAATGTTAGGTGTTCGTTGTTTTCTACATTTCCATGAAGAGGCATTTGAGTCGTGGTTTTCATTTGAGATTCTATTTTAAGTTTGATTCATGTTCATCCCTCGAAATGGATCGGGAAAAGTGGAGGGAGTGAGACATCTTCGCCGATGCTGTTCTGGTTGTAAGAAAAACGAGAGAGCTCGCAGCAAAGTCAAATCCGTGACGCGGCCCGGGGCTCTATTCAGGTCACCCAAACCTGTAGGAAACCAAGGCAACAATCTTTCGCCCAGCTTTGTTTGGAATTAATTTAAAAATACATGTATATTTTTAGTGCTGGCATGCGCACAACGGGCATTTCCGGACAGACTTTCGGGAGACTATTCACACCTGTGGGGAATTAATAATCACCACGACACTGTTCAGTGTATATAACAACAACAACAATAACACATAATGATAACCCATATAAGTGGTGTTTATTTCCATTGGTAATTTATTTAGTCCGTCAGAAATGAATGACACAGCTTTTCAATGACTCCGTAGAGCCGACACGGGCATGAATGAAGCAGAAAGCCGATAATGAGGAGACAGGAGGTGAACTCTTCCCTCGTTTCCTAAAGGACATGGGTGTTCTGTTCACACTCATCCCTCACGTTTCTGCCCCCCCCCCCCGCCTGCTTTAAAAAAAAAAAAAAACATAGCTGCACCAGGAGGAGGGTGCGAGGGAAAAAAAATGAAGTCAATTATACAACGGTCCGGCTTTGCAGAGCTCCCTCCTTTCCTCCTCTACCTCCTCCTCCTCCTCCTCCATGCTTTACTACAACAGCTGGTGGCTGCGCCCTGGCGCTCCGTATCCTCCACCGGGCACACCGGCTCCAGTCCGTAGGCATGTCGGGCGGGGGCTCTGACGGGACGGCGGACAAAACGCCAGGTAAGGGGGGGAACCGGGGTTCGAGCAGCACCACACAGGATAAAATTCTACGCCATTCAGCTACTTTTGACATCAATTACAACAATTCGTATTGACCTGCACTTAATGAAACAAGAATATACCATGTTTTAAACATTTTTTAGCCATTAGCTTACGTATTTATTAATGCTTCAACATAGAGCTTTTAGTAGCTCCGGGGCAACTGGACGACGACTCCCGTTGTAGTAAGTTGGGTTTTACTATAAATATTTCTACTAAATACTATCTAACGTTCTTGACATCTCACGCGACCGCTTACTAATGACAAAAGCCCCCCCCACGGCAGTTGTTTGGACACCCGAGCCCGAACGCAAACTAAACCCGTTTAGCCTCTTTTACTCCCCCCAAAAAAGAAGAAAAAAGCCGGTAGCCGGTTAATTGTCTTGTCGCGCGCCCGGCTCGACTGCGGCGGTCTGTCCCATTCATCAGTCGTAGTACGTGCTCGTGTCCGGCGGGGCGCGCGTGAAGGACGGCGGCGGAGCCGGGAGGGCGGTTTGTGTTGCCTTTTTTTTCGTCCGGTGGAGAAATACTTCAACGAACTTCGTGGAAATACGTCGAGGACGCCTTTCTCCATTATAGCCATGAGTGTCATTGTTTCTTAGTAGCGGCTTAGTAGCGAAAGTTCCTTTTTTCACTCCTTTTTTATGTAGCCTTGTCCTCTCCCCCCCTCGGCCCAGCCGAGTATTTTATTACATTTTATTAACCGTCCACCGGACTACCCAGTCGCCGAAGTCATGTGGGTTCACGAGTTTTGTCCGCTTATTGTTTCGAGTTCGGCTTCTTCCAAATCTGGGTCAGTGGATCAGTAGGCTACAGCGGCGCTGCCTTAGCCGAGCAGCAGAGGGAGGTAGTGGCGCCCCGCCGCCTCCGAGCACTCTCCTCCGGTCCAGAAAGGCCCAGGAATGAACAACCTCCGGAGCTGAAACTCTGCATTTCTACTTTTATTTGGCGTTGTCTCACGAAGAAGTTCGAAATGATGTTGGAAATGTCCCACCAGCCAGTGAAGCTATCAGATAATGACCAAAGTCTCTTAGGATGAGGGAGAACCCCTTTTTCAAACTGTACTTGAACACAACTCTGCTCTCTGTAAAGTCTTTGCTTTTGAATGCTTTTAAAATAAAAAATATATTTAAAGAAAAACTACCACAACAGATGTATGTAAAAGATTAAAGTAAACGATTTACTTTAGTTCAATGTTCAGTTGGATTTTATAGTATGTTTAAAGAAAAAGTGGTTTAGTCCTAGTACACTTTTTAAACAAAAAGAAAAGCATAATAAACACGGCTCACAAAAACATACATAATCCAAACTCTTTTTTTCCCACTGTGGTCGGCGTTTGGATTCTTTCACTGTTGCTTATTCAACCAAAAATAACCAGAGGGATTCTGTACTGTAGTTCAACTGTATGGTTTCATGCCTGACTTAACCGGATCCGACCAGAAGTCCAGCACTTCTGGTCACATTCCTTAGAGCCCCGGACTAATGTGTCTGTGTCCCACAGCCACTTTCAGAATGTAAAAATTCAGAGCAGTTAGCCGTGGCATAAAAAAGAATAAAGCAAGAAATGAAACCTCAGACTCCTACAGAACGGTTCATCTATTAATCCTTGCCTGTATTTGCAAAAACAGAGAAAGGAGAAAAATTAAAGAAAAGTTTTACTGCTGAATTTCGACCCCCTGAAACCACAGGGGACTACACTACCAAAGGATTTAATAGCCTGAAAGAAAGCTTGTGCCTGAAAGAAAGAAAGAAGGGGGGGAAAACAGCCCAAACCTGTTCATTGATTCTGTATTAATTCTCAAGCGTGTCCGATTTTTACATCATAGGTACACAATGGTGGTCGGAATGGGGCAGCCCAGGGTGGTGTAGACTGGTCCCTCCTTTCTGAGGGTAAATATAAACAAAGGGAAGCACTTTGTTTACAGGTCTGAGATAGATCTGGCAGGCTTCTGAAGAAACGGTGTTCAAACTGCCCGTAGAAAAAGTGTGGTGCTCGGCATTTTTTAGGAGAAATGAATATGGATATCCTTATATCATTATTAGGGAGCTGTTTAGTTAATTTCCTTTGTGAAATCTGTCAGAACAATGCTGGTGTTTGTTTTTAATTGATGGTGTTTGCTGAAATTTTATTGTACGTGTTAACTAAAAACATACAGCGAGCATATTTTGGGGCAGATTTTGTGCACCAGATAAGCAGAAAAATGAGTTGAATAGAGTTGAAAAAACATTTGGGATAATAAAAGCTGATCTATAGTTGTCTGCTGCCTTTAATAGAACTGAATCCAAATTTAGTCTGGCTTTGGTATTTTAAAGTTGGGTTCAAAATTGTAGTTTGGTAAAGAAACAAACAAACAAAAAAACAAGCACTACAAGACTATTGGAAGTGATATTGCGTTTTTTCCCCGGCCGAGTGTCATCGGAATCCAGTTCGAGTTGTTCGTTTTCCATCAAATGCCTTGAAGTTATTCAAGTGGGATTAAATGAGCACACAAAGGCACGGATTTGCCCGTGCATTGTCACCTCCGGCGTGCATCCTCGTATCTGTAATGCGCCATGTCACATGCTGGCCTGCAGGCTGGGCCTCTCCTCTCTTCTCGTCTCCTCTCGTCTCCTCTCCTCTCCTCTCCTCTCCTCTCCTCTCCTCTCCTCTCCTCTCTTTTCCTTTCCTCTCCTCTTCTGTCCTCTCCTCTCCTCTCCTCTCCTGTCCCAACAGGTGCCTTCTGGCTCAGAGTGGCCACCATCTGTGGGCGAGCTCGGGTCTGGTCAGAGGAGAGAGAGAGAGCTTTGCATCCTCCCCCAGGGTCACGCTACGCACGTGCCCGAGGAAATATTTCCTGAAGAACGGCGGGGGGGAATAAAAAAAAACAAAACTGTTGTGCCGCATCAGCGGGAGAGATTTTTATCGTAGGCGGAGGGAAAAGCGAGCGTATCCTCGCTCCCACGTTCCAAATCTGCGTCAGAGGTGACCCACTAAACTCCACTGGAGTATTTACGTGGTAGAATATCATGGTAAAAAATAATTGATATTCACCCTACTTCTGATTGAGCTCTTCAGTGGGTTGGCTTGGCTTGTTTGCCTCAGAATGGAATCACTTCGACCTGTCAGGTTGTTTTGCTCATTTCTGTTTTTATAAAGCTTTATTCTCCTAATTAAACATGTTGCAAAAGTAAAGAACAGTCAGCGGAATAGATATAAAATCTTAAAGAGGACAGAAGTTTTGTGTTAACCCTGCTAATATTATGAGATTAAAGACAGATGACAACCTTGGATTGTTCAATTCAGGCACGATTCCATGCATTTTTCTCTCTCTAGAGAGAAATAAAAAAAAAAGAACTAGTGGGTCACCTGCGGTAACACTCACGTTGAAAGGCTTTCTCCACTTTGATCTGCAGTTTTTACTCTCCAAGTGGATGTGACACTTTCAAATGTGTGGTCCCCAGAAGGAAGTAGGTCAGTGTGACGGCGTTATATAAGCATTAGGTAAGCCCAAACCCCATTTTTCTCTCACGTGCCTTTCAAAGTTCCAAAATGTCAGCGCGGCTAGGGGCTGGGCGCCGTTTTCAGTGGCAGTTTTTTGGGCAAATTTGCCTGGAAACAGATGACTACAGAACAGGGGGTTTGGATGTTGAGGGGTATGGCTGGTGTTCTCGTATGATCCAAAGCTTTTGTGGGAATTTCTCTGCGTTGCTGAAAAAACAAAAGGGGGATTTTCATCCTTAGGAGATTGTGGGTAAAAAAAAAGACAGTGACATGTTTTCAAAAGCTCGCAAAAGGCCAGAGAAATGTCCTTATGAGTGGTTGAATTGGTTGAAAACCTTTCCTCCAGCAGCTTGAAAATGAGCCACAGACTCCCTGGATGTTCTCTGGTATTAGCCTTAAAACAAACGAAAAAAAAGCTGCTCTATTCCATTTCCTGAGGTTTTAATTAGATATCTCTTTCCTCCTCTTATCTTAGATGCTGATGTTGACCTGACTGGTAGGCCGGCCAAAATCGAGGCTCAGATCTCTCTTCCGGGAACATTTAGTTTCAGATTATAAACGGCTGCGACACATCTGTCACAATTAAAGGCCTAACTCTGCCACATGCTGGTCATTGGTCTCGAGTCTTTAAAGGATAAGATGGAAGTGAATGCTCACATACTTTTTTTTAGGCAGAGTTAGGAAGCTTGTTTAAGTTATATTTTCATCTTCAGGACGGAAAACATTGTACTGGCAGACTGACTGACTTTTATGTGGGGTTTCAAATTCCCCTTTCTAAAGTGTCAGAAGTGCACTGCAGTTTGAACTTGAAGTCGGTTGGAGATATTTTCCACGCCGCTCGTTCCTTGGGGGGCCGTTGGGGGTATATATGTATATATATGTATATACAGTCCCCATCACAATTTTTAACTATTGGCACCCCTGTTTAAGATGTGGTCGAGGACTTCTAAAGATTCTCCAACAACATAGAACCCAAATGCATAAAATGAGAATATGTAGCAAAAAATAAAATAAAAATAAAAA